AGCTTTCTGGAGAATTTTGGTGAAGATGAATCGTGGTGAATGAGATTGAAGAGTGGGGTGGTGGATAATATGATTGAAGGTTGAGATGGAGAGAAGAATGAAGAGAAAGTTTCTGAGAATTTTTCTGTAGCTTTGTAAAAATGATCGTGGGAAATGGTGAAGAATGGAGCGTGTGAATTTCTGAGATTTGCAGAAAATGCTGGTTCTTTCATGTTGCGGGGCATTTCTGGTAGTTGGTTTTAGTTAACAGTTAGCTTGATTTGTTCAATTTTCCGCTGTTCCTCGAATGGCTTAGGCTGCTTATTGTTTCTTTTATTGCAAGTTCTTTTCCTTCTGAACTGGATTGGTATGTTAGGATATGCACTTGGTTTATAGAAGTGAATTGCTTATTGGCTTCCCTTATACTATCACATATATGAACTTGTCACTTTGATATTTCTTGAGTGAATGACATTGAATATGCATGACTTATTCTTCTGCATTGCCTTGTACACTTCGTTTGAACTCAGAACTGGTTTATGTGTTTCTAACTGGTTTTTGTTCTATGCAGGTGGGTTCATTTTATTTTTAAAATTTGTGTAGAATCTTGGAACAGGACGTGGAGTCACAGTATCATGGTGCGGTATTAAGATCCTGACAGCTTGTAGTCTTGATTTTGGGTTGCAGGTATGGTTTAAGGCCATTTGAATACGTGCTGGTGAATTGCAAGGTGCCTTCATTGTGCTTAAACTTATGTAGGAATTCCGCTCATGTAGGTCTGGTATCATTTGGTTTGAAATGCTGCAAGGCTTTCTCTATTTGGATTTTGTTTGGAATGAATAGACTGGTATAGTGGTGAACCGGGTAATCACAAACTGTTTGTATCTTTTTTCTGAATTTCATTCTTGAACAGGGCAGGGGCTTATCAGTCAGTAGGTTCAGTTAAGTAAATGGCTACTATTAGTATGGTGTTTGTACGTTAGTTTACTAGAAAAAAGAAAAGAGTTATGTGTATGTTGGTATAGTGAAGCAGTGTTAGTGTGAACTGGTCCTTTTGTTTGTGCAGGGTTGTAGTTGTTGTAAAGGCAAGCTGATGTTAAGCCATGGTCGATTAAAGATGGAAGATGGACAAAAGGCGTCGTGTTGTTTACTTTGAGCATGAGAGAAGAAGCAGGGAGGCGTATGAAGTAAGGTTGCTACTTGAAACTTGTTTATGGCATGAACTTTGGAGGAAAGAATGAGCTTAGGATTAGGTTCAGGTTAAAAGCATTATAGTAGATTTTGATGTGAACTTCATATACTTGATGCATCCTTGGTAATGTGAACATGATGTTGTAGGCTCTTTATAATGAACTTTGAAATCAATGAGGAAGCCTCACATTTTAGCACAAACTTTTTTTAATGCATTTCTTTTTTTTTTTTTTGAAAAAATGATGACAGATTAAAGCTTGCAAAGTATGAGACATTGAAATCATAATGGCCTTTGGAAGCATAATAGTCTCTTGAAGAAACATTGTGGCAAGGCTTGACACATATAGATTAGGAACAAGTTTAGGTCCCCTTTTGTATGGTGGGAATGAAATTGCCATTGTAATCTTGAATATCCTTGAATAGATTTCCTTTTTAATGACCATTGAACGAAATGATTAGAATCCGCGGTGCTTACTTAAAAATGGTGGATGATACTTGGATTTTGAATGAATTTGAATGCTATATGGATGAGTGAATATGCCTTGCTATTTGAAATCCATTCCTTGAAATCCCAATAAACAAACTTTCCAATCTTGCAAACTTCAAACAACTTTAATAAACTTTTGATCCAATCTTGAATTTGAATGAATACTTTATTTTTTTTTAAATGATGAACAAAACCCAAGTGTTGAGAAAGAAAGCTCATGATAGTTGTAGAGCAAAAACTTAGTTCCTCTGACAAATCCAAACATATGGAAAAAATCACACTCCCTAACCAAGGTGGTCTTGTAACCTGATGTAGAAGAAGTCCATAATAATCATGAAACCAAAATCCTAGCTTCCAATCATAATTGATGAAGAAACCAATTGAAACAACCTTGACTGAAGACGAGAGTCTTAAAGCAATAGAAAAAACCCTAACTTAAAAATCATCGATCCCGTGCCAAATTATTGATTGATGATGCATGATGTGTTAAATGACCTAATGGAAAAAAAAATACATATGAAAGAATGAAGTGCATAAGCCAGATGTTTGGAATTAAAGGTAGGAGAAATTTGGGGTACGACACCTGCAAGACACTCTGATGTCAAAGCAAGGTTCAGAGCGAAAGTGCAAGTATGGAGTTAGAGTAAGTAGAATAATGTGTACCTGACCCTCTAATGAAATAGGGTATTTATAGCCCCTATCGTTGGGTCAAGGTCCCCATTTAGGTTGGATGCCCATGACCATAATGGGGACTGTTAGGATCCTACGTGGGTAGAGGAGACTAGTTCATGGTCTCTATCCTGGTTTAACTGCCCCGTGATTCTCAGAGAGTGGAAGATCCGATCTTTTCGAAAGCAGACGTCCTCTATGTGCACATGAAGGAGATGTCTTTGACGTGCACGTGGAGGAGACGTCCCCGACGGACACGTATGGGAGACGTCCCCGACGGACACGTATGAGAGACATTTCTTAACAGTCATAATAATTTGGGCCACTGTGGTGGACCCTCCTTGCAGCTGTGTTGGACTGTCCTTACCCGACAGGGGACCAAGTGGAGGTCCAGACAGATTATTAGACCTTTCTTACTGCAAGGTTGAATTGGATTTTGCCTGACAACAGACTAAGCTCAAGTTCAGTCCAGAACAATTTTTTTTAAATATACTTTTTTAAAAGAAGAAAATTATATCAACGAAAAATTCAAACATACATAATTTTTCAACTTTGATTTATATTGTTTTAATCTCTGGCCAATATCTTTAAATTATTTATATAAATACCGATTTTTCTAAAGAAAAAGTAAACTAACAAATTCAAATACATGAAAAAAATCTTCAAAAGAGTAATATACTTTAAAAGTCAAACTGTGCCAATTAAATTATCATCCAACAAAGAAGGAAACAATCACAATCACATCATTAACTAATGGATCACATCAAAATAACGTTACTTCCCTTGCTTTGACATTTATGCATATTAAGAACTTTCGTAAACTTTATTTTGACTAACTCTTAAATTTGAACCGTCCGATCTAAATTGATTGATCTATTATTTTTTTAAGCATATAGATCGAGTTAGATCGGGTATCGAGTTCATCAAATTATTTAATTTAAATATTATAGAGTTGATTCTGTCGGATTCGAATAATTATTTTGATTCTGTTAAAAACCGAATCCGATCAAATTTTAATATTTATTTTATATATTTTTTATTGTTTTAGAGTCTAAGCATTATAAAAATAAGATTTATTATATTATCAAGTTATTATCATTTTCATAATTTAGTGGTAACATTGTATATTCATAAAAATATAAGATATAAAATATAAAATTTTGAGTCTTATTTAATTTATTGTTTAAAGTGTGATAATGAATAAATTAGTATTAAATGATATTTGAAATTTTATAACGTGATAATAATGTTTTTTCAATAATGAAAAAATAGTTCTTTAAATTATTTTAAAATTTTGATAGTTTTTATAAAAAAATTAAAAGATAAATATTTGTGAATTTTATAAAAGATGAATAATTTTTATAGATTTATTTTAATTATATTAATTGGTTAAATCTACTCTACTTATCCGTTAAACTAATTAAATCGAACTCACCAAAAATCAAAATTTTATCGGTCGGAATCAGACTTTAATAATGAAACCGTAATTTACGTCGAATTTAAGTTTTGGGTTTAATTTTGATCCAAATCAACCGATTGTCCACTCCTATTCTTAAATGAATTCTAATGTTATCATATATTTGACTACTCCATAAGACGAATTTTACACTGTGCTATGTTTTTAGAAAAAATATTACAAAATATCATTGATTTGTCATCAATATATATTATTATACCATATTTTCAAAAAAAAACATTTTTGATAAAGAGTTTTCGCCTATTCAATGGGTAGAAGAATGCAATTTGAAATTAAATTTGTTTTAAAAACTTCTGCAAAAATAATGGACTCTATAATTTACACATGTATGTGATTTAAATAAGCGAAATCTTTTAAATTTGCACTCTTCTAATCATTAAATGGGCGGAGTCTCTTAATCAAAAATGATTTTTTTTTTGAAAACATTGTATAAAGATATACTTCCTCTATTCCAAATTATAAAATAAATTTACCTTTTAAATTTATTGAATAAATAATATATTTCGTTAATATATACATTAATTATTCAATAAATCTAAAAAATAAATTTCTCTAAACAAGTATATTGATCACATCAATAGTAATTTGAAATATCTTTAAATATGACATGACGTGCAAAATTCCCATAAAACATGAACCACTTTATAAAAAATAAAAATAAAGTTGTACTATTTAAACTTACAATATATCTTAAATTCAACCTAATATTTCTTTCATTTCAACATAACTAATTTAATCAATCAATTCACACCTATTAAAAGAAAAATGTCTAATGAAAGAGAGAGTGAAAATTATTTTTATTAAAATACTTTTATTATTTCGGTTTACCGTTAATACAAAATAAAATAAATTGAGTGTAATTCAATAGGTTAGAAGCTTAGTAAAGTAAGATTCACATTGTCAATATTTAGAAACTTCGTTGTAAGTGCAGCAAACACCGCAAAAATAACACCAAAACCATGAATTGGAGCAAACAAATGATCTTCTTGTAAAACAATAATAATCACACCATTAACTCTATGTGGACACATCATATAATTTTTCTTCTCTCAATTTGACATTTGTGCCTTTTATGAACATAGATCCTAGTTGGATTCTAACGTCAGCATGTGTTTCACAACTCCTAAACCTTAAGACATGAACGTATTTCTCTATATAAGAAACTAAAGTATTAACATAAAGGCCATATACTCAGACATGACAAATCTTCAAAAGGCTATTGGTTTTCTGTTTTATATACTAGTTATATCTTTGCTTCCATTGAAAATCACAGCATCACTAAAAACAGAAGCAGAAGCACTTGTCAAATGGAAAAATAGTCTATCACCCCCTCTTCCTTCATGGTCACTCACCAACCTTATCAACCTTTGCAATTGGAAAGCTGTTGTTTGTGACAGCACAAATACAACTGTTTCAAAGATAAACTTGTCTAATGCAAATATCAGTGGAAAACTCACTGACTTGGATTTTTCTTCTCTCCCAAACCTTACCCTCCTCAACCTCAACGGAAATAGGTTTAGTGGATCAATACCATCAACAATTGGCAACCTCTCCAAACTCAGTTTCTTGGACTTGGGAAACAACTCACTTGAAGGCACACTCCCTTCTGAGCTAGGCCAGCTAAGGGAACTTCAACATGTTAGTTTTTTCGACAACAATCTCAATGGTACCATTCCCTATCAGCTCACTAATCTCCCTAAGGTAAGTTACCTTGACTTTGGATCAAATTTTTTTGTATCTTCCTTTGACTGGTCTCAATATTCAAGCATGCTTTCCTTAAATTACCTTGGTTTGGAAGAAAATAAACTCACCGGTGAGATTCCAAGTTTCATATTTGAGTGCAAGAACTTAACATACCTTGACCTCTCTCAGAACAAATGGAATGGTACAATACCAGAATCCATGTATGGTAATTTGGCCAAACTTGAATATCTCAACCTCACAAATTGTAGGCTAGACGGAAAACTATCATCCAATTTGTCCATGCTCTCAAATCTCAAAGATCTTCGTCTTGGTAATAACATGTTTAATAGTCCTATTCCAGCAGAGATAGGAATGATATCTAGGCTTCAATTTCTCGAATTGAACAACATTTCAGCCCATGGGGAAATTCCTTCTTCCCTAGGTCAACTAAAGGAGCTAGTGCATCTTGACCTCCGTCTTAATTTTTTAAACTCTAAAGTCCCTTTTGAGCTTGGCCTATGCACAAATCTAACTTTCTTGAGCTTAGCAGAAAATAATCTAACAGGTTCTTTGCCTTTGTCATTAGCAAATTTGACCAAACTTTCAGATCTAGGATTATCAGGTAATTTCTTTTCTGGTCAAATTTCTGCTTCATTGATCTCTAACTGGACTGAGTTAACTTCCTTGCAAGTTCAAAACAATAGTTTAATAGGAAAGGTTCCTCCGCAGATTGGCCTGTTGAAAAAAATTAATATCCTTTATATGTACAAAAATCATTTCTCTGGTCCTATTCCTGAAGAGATTGGAAACTTAAAGGAAATGACAGAGTTAGACCTATCAGGAAACTATTTCTCTGGTCCAATTCCACGAACAATTTGGAACCTCACAAACATAACAGTCATAAATCTTTTCTTCAACAACCTCTCCGGAAACATTCCAGCTGATATTGGAAACTTAACCTCACTGCAAGTTTTTGATGTCGACAATAATAACTTAGATGGAGAATTGCCACACACAATTGCTAATCTAACTTCCTTAGCTTTTTTTTCCGTGTTCACGAATAACTTCTCAGGAAGCATTTCTAGAGATTTTGGAAAGAATAGTCCTTCTTTGACTGATGTCTACTTTTCAAACAATAGTTTCTCAGGAGAACTTCCTTCTGACATGTGTAGCGGCCTCAATTTAGAAGAATTGTTAGTAAATAACAATAGCTTTTCGGGGCCATTGCCGAACTCTTTGAAAAATTGTTCATCTCTTGTAAGAGTTAGGCTTGATGACAACAAGTTCAATGGGAACATCACAGAAGCTTTTGGGATTCATCCAAATCTTAATTTCATCTCACTTAGCAAAAATCATCTTGTTGGTTATCTATCTTCAGATTGGGGTAAATGTATCAGCTTAACTGAGATGGAGATGAGTGGAAACAGATTTTCAGGAAAAATTCCATCTGAGCTAAGTAAGTTGAGTGAATTACAATTTCTTAGCCTACATTCCAATGAATTCACCGGAAATATCCCCCCTGAAATTGGAGATTTAAGTCGGCTGTTCATGTTCAATTTGAGCAGGAACCATTTGTCTGGAGAAATCCCAGAGAGTATTGGAAGATTAGCTCAGCTTAATAACGTTGATTTATCAGATAATAACTTCAGCGGAAGCATTCCTAAAGAGATTGGTAACTGTAACCGGCTACTAAGCATGAATTTAAGCCATAACAATCTATCTGGTATGATACCGTATGAACTAGGCAATCTGTTCTCACTTCAATCCATGTTAGATATCAGCAGCAACAATCTTTCAGGAGAAATTCCCCAAAATCTTCAAAAGTTAGGATCATTGGAGATTCTCAATGTATCACACAACAATCTATCCGGAACAATCCCACAATCCTTTTCAAATATGGGCAGCCTTCAATCTGTGGACTTCTCTTACAACCACTTGTCAGGTTTGATACCAACTGGTGGTGTTTTCCAGACAGAAAGTGCTGAAGCTTTTGTTGGGAACTCAGGTTTGTGTGGTGATGTAAAGGGATTAACATGTGCCAAAAACCATTCTGGAGGGTCCAACAAAAAGGTACTTCTTGGTGTTACTATATCAGTTGGTGGAGTATTTTTTATAGGGATGATTGGTGTTGGAATCCTGCTATTTCAAAGGAAAGCCAAAAAACTTAGTGAAGAATCCAAAAGCATTGAAGATAATGATCAATCTATTTGCTTGATATGGGGAAGAGATGGAAAGTTCACATTTTCTGATCTTGTGAAAGCAACCAATGACTTCAATGAAAAGTATTGCATTGGAAAAGGAGGATTTGGAAGTGTTTATAGAGCAGAACTACCTACAGGTCAAGTTGTTGCTGTTAAAAGACTCAACATATCAGATTCTGATGACATTCCAAAAGAGAACCGCATGAGCTTCATAAATGAGATAAGATCACTTACAGGAGTGAGGCACAGGAATATAATAAAGCTATATGGTTTTTGTTCAATGAGGGGAGACATGTTCTTGGTTTATGAACATGTAGAGAGAGGAAGTCTGGGGAAAATGTTGTATGGAGAAGAAGGAATATCGGAGCTAAGTTGGCGTACAAGGGTGAGAATTGTGCAAGGATTAGCACATGCAATTGCTTACCTACATAGTGATTGTTCTCCACCAATCGTGCACAGAGATATCACACCGAACAATATACTGCTGGATTCAGATTTTGTGCCTCATCTTGCAGATTTTGGCACTGCAAAGCTGCTAAGCTCTAACAATTCAACCTGGACTTCAGTTGCAGGAACCTATGGCTACATGGCTCCAGGTACACAATCCATTCAATGACCGACATATATTCAATAAATTGTGAAATTATTTGAGTTTTATTCGTCACTTATTTTAGAGAAGTCAAATTCTGATATATACATATATATTATCTCTACAATTTAAGATTTCTGGATACATACCTGATGGATTTGTTGACTGGCAAAATTTGAATTTGCATTTTGCAGAGCTAGCACAAACCATGAGGGTGACTGAAAAATGTGACGTGTATAGTTTTGGTGTGGTGGTGTTAGAGATATTGATGGGAACACACCCCGGAGACTTCTTGAATATCCTATACTCAAACAAGTCTTTGGCATTAATGGAAGTGCTTGTGAAGGATGTTGTAGACCAGCAGCTTCCACCTCCTACAGACGAATTAGGCGAAACAATAATGTTTACAATGAGAGTAGCTTTGGCATGCACAAGTGCTGCTCCAGAGTCTAGACCCATGATGCGTTCTGTTGCGCAAGAACTATCAGCTACTGCACAGGCTCGTCATTCTCAGCCATTTGATATGATGACCGTAGGCAAGCTTACAGGATTGCAAAATTAGATTCATCAAGAACTGTATGGAGGACTTTTATATGAGATGTTACCATGAGGATTGAGGATATAAAGAATAAAGAATCAAATCTCATGTACACTAGATGTAATGTTGAGTTACAGATTATCATGGGTAGAACTTAATATACTAGATAGAATGATTAGTCTAGTTAAATTTATAAGTTTTTAAAACAATGTACTTTATATCATTAGAGTTTTGTATACGGAAACATGTTTTGAAATAACTATTCTCCTTCTCAAGAACATGTTTTAATCAAGCGCATCACTCCCTTTTATGTGACATTTACAACGTATCAGGAACAGTTTCAAAAGCCGACAACAACTGTTTGAGATCTCATAGAGTGTTTTATCATCAACCCATGTACCAGACAAGTTCAACAAGGTTGGAGAATCTATGGAGGAATCGAGGGAGATGACAAAGACGTGGATACAAAATTACCAGAGAGAAAATGAGACGGTTGGAGAAGAAAGAGATTGTTGGTGTCAAGATTCGAGACAACTTCTCTTCTTAATTCTTAATTCTTAATTCTTAATTCTTAGAAATATATATATATATATTTCTAATTCTTAATTCTTAGTGTGTGTTTGTTTTAAGTTTAGAAATTACATTTTCAAGAATACATAGGTGAAAAATGAAGATATGTTTGTCAAGGGTTGAAAAAAAATTAAATTATAAAGATTTCAAGGAATAAAATAATTTCTTATAACTTCCACTATTTCCATGGAATTATTCTCATGTTAAAGGATGAGAAAGTGGATTTCTATGAAATTTTATATATTTTTAAAAATAAATTAATAAAAATTATAATATTCTTGGAAATAGTAAAATTTTTGCCAAATAATTTTTCAGAAGAATACTTTAGAATAAATTTCCTACATTTATTTTTCTGGGATAGTAATTTCAAGGAATAAATTTTGACACCTTGAAATAAACGCCCTCTTAAATATTAGTTAGTGATGAATATTCCAATAAGATTTCCAACACTTCTAAAATTTGAAAAAACATTTATGAATAATATCTCCATCTTCATCACTGTGTTCATCTTCTCTTGTTCGACATTGGGAGAAGTTTCATATATCATTTCAAGAATATACTATATTTTATTGGCAGTTTTTCAATAGGAAACATAAAAGATTTACTATCATCTAAAGACATTACTATAAAACTCTTGGTTTTAAAATCTATTTCAAATTTTCTCTTTTCTTCTTCGATCCAAAGGAAATTTGATTTATCTATTAATTCTCCATTTACTTGATAAGTATGGATAAACAGACCCCGAATCGGTTCTGACATTTTAGAGGCCTTTGGTAAATAATAAAAATTGAGCCCTAATAAAAAACTGAGCAATTAATTTTGAATTTATTTTATTTTATTTTATTTCCTTTTGTTTCAGAGAGAGATGGGAGAATGTCATAGTGTCATACTCAAAGAGAAGGGCGAGGGCCTGATTGCCACTGGAGGTGGCAGTGACAGTGCGCTGTAGCTGGCGCATGGGAGGCAGGTGCGTGAGAGGCATTCAGAGAGAGAGAATGAGAGAGAGAGAGAAGAATATCAAAAGTGTCAAACTCAAAGAGAAGGGCGGTGGCCTGATTGTTACTGGCGGTGGCAGTGGCGCTGTAGTTGGCGCGTGGAAGGCAGGTGCCTGGGAGGCAAGATTCAACATTGAAGAACTAAAAGAGAGATAAATCCGTAAAAATGTGAAAACGTAGTTAGGAAGAAAATGTGAATTTTGTATTAGCATCACTTCAATAAAATCAAATCAATATATTGAGTTAGATAGTGTTACAGAAAAATAGTGGTTGAAGATCCAGTTCCACAAATGATAATGAATTATATTTAATCATAAAAATTTGATAATAAATCATAGGATAAAACTTAGGTACAATTTTTTAAGTGTGGTTCTTACTATTTTCCAATGAAAATATGACAAGTGTATAATTTTCTTTTACACATATACAAATTTCTCCAATTTTCACTCTTTAAATGATATTTAAGTATAAATATCACATTTTCATTGGAAAATAGTAAAAATCATATTTAAAGAATTGTACCTAAGTTATGTCATAAATTATATGATTGTATGATGAATTTTTAAATATTTAATTATAAATAGTATTAAAATTTATAAAAAAAAATTTGAAATAAAATTTAAAATTTTAAGCAACATCAGAAACTAAAATATGGTATTAAGTATTTCGATAGAGCTTCAAAATCTTAAGACATGGCATAAAGAGCCTCAAATTTTTATTAGAATTGATATATAAACAAAAGGGAAGATAAACTAGTTTAAAAAATTCTAAAATCTTATAAATACTATATTAAATTAGATTAAATGTAATGAAGTTGTTCAATTTTTTTTTAATTTTAATAATATTTAATTTTTATCTATTTAATTATGTTGACTTACTAAAAAATAATACATAATTTCTTTAATTTTTACTTATTATAAAATGAAATTTAATAATATGTTTTTTATAAAATAAAATAAAAAGTAATAAAAATAGATATAAATAATAATATTTTATTTTATTATATAAATTTAATAATAAATTAATTAATTATATAATAGATCTTTTTTAAATATAAATTAAATATAATTTTTATATATTATTGAAAAATTATTTTAAAAAATTGAAAAGGTCAGATAGTTATATTAATACACATAGTAACAAAACTATGAAGTAGTAAATATTTGTTTTCCAAAAGGATCCACAATATCATGTTATCAAACCACATCTCTTACCATCAGGCTAGTACTTCATTGTGTGTTACATTTTTTACACATGTGGTATTTATTATTGATTATGTAAATTTTTTAATTCTTCTTCCAATTTTGAGGCCCTCAATTTTTAGAGGCCCTTGGTCGTGAGTTTGATTGCTCTGACTTAAAATCGACCCTGAATAGATCATTGATTATAGTTTTCTACAATTCAAAGTTTATACTTTGAATAAAAATCCTAAACATAGTTTTCCACAATTCAAACTTAATATTATTAAAAGGTGGAGATGTGTTTAGAAAAGATTTTTTTTCTTGGGAGGGTGAATTCGAACCTTGAAATTCTAAGACCATAAAATCCATAATGGTAGCATTTGCTCTATTGGAGGTGAATTTTCCTGACAAGGATGTTAGAGAGAGAATGGTCGCACATGAGGCTCTCCAATGAATGTTTTTGTTTTGAAACCTTGCTTGATTTCTAGCATACCAAATGCAATCTACAATGTTTAAGATAACCGTTTTTATTACCACGTGACACTGAGCATAATGTCTACCATCAATGACCTCCAAGCAATCATCCAAACAAGCTATACGAATTCACTTGTCCAAAATATTGCCTAACCAATTCCAAATATTCCTAGCATAATTGTAGTAAAAAATAAGATTGTGCAAAGTTTCAGAATGTTGGAAGCACAAACTACACATAAAAGGAGTACGTTGACCTCTCAAACTGAGCTTACCATCAGTTGGAAGCTTCCCATGAATGAATCTCCAGAAAAGTATGGAATTAGAATGAGGGATGACTGAGTCCCAAATCTTGTTCCCCCAAATATGATTAACACTTGACTTATTGAGAGAATTAAAATCCTCTTTAAGAGTGAGTTGCCCATTGACTAATTTATCCTTCACTTTCTGATTGACATAAGTATAAAAAAGAAGCTGAGGAAAACTTAGAGAATTTGGATTAACCCTGCATGAAGGTTATTTTTCCATCATGAATAATGTTCTTGAGAGCTTTCAGATGCACATGATTGTCCCAAGGAATTCAAATTAAATCTTGTAGAAGTTGCCCACACCAATTGTCTCCCCAAAGGTTAATATTCTCATAATTTCCAGCCATCCATATATAATTTCCCTTTATAACTCCCTGATAAGCTTTGCAACTTGTCCGAATTGAAGAGTAAACATGATATTTCACTTGTCTACCATTCTTTAATACTCTAGCTCTATGAATCCTAGCCTAATCCTCAGTACCAGTTTTAATGTACCAACATTACTTTATATCAATGGCTTCATTTAGAACCCTCATGGATCGAATGCCAAGACCACTATCCTTCAGATCTTTACAACAATGTTTCCAAGCCATAATCAATGTCTTCCTTTTGTGTATATCGAAACTCCATATAAAGTTTCAACATCAACCTTCTATAGTCTTTAGTAAACTGATAGGCCAAGAATACACCATTAAGGAATAAAACATCATGCTCTGAATCACTGACTTGACCAGTTGTACTCTTCCTGCTATAGAAAACAAATTGGCCTTCCAAGCAGCAAGCTTGCCTTTGATTTTTGTTGTGGACTAGCCCGACAGCTAGAGTGGGCCCAGTCTAACCCCTTCTTTTGGTAAGGCCCACACGACCATGGCTCGAATCTCCCCCGCTCTCCGTCGGGCAACATCGATCCTTTGCCCTCCTGGACTGGCACTGACCCATGATGATTGACGAGCACCTCCCAGCCTTCCCGACCTCAAGTCGCACAGACAACTAAGAACCGACCAGATCGCTGCCCGCAACCTACCTCCTCCTTGGATCTAACGGCTAGTTACAGGAACACCTTCCCAGTATGACCAAGTCCTGACAATTACTTATTTTTGTGGACCCGCATATCCAGGCCTAAAAATAGGAACCAATGACCATGCACTAGGGGAATTATATAAACCCTCACACATGTGAGAGTCAGGTATCGAATATTCACTATTCACCATTAACACCATAATACTTTGCATGTATCTCTTTTCTCCCACACTTACTTGATCGTCGGAGTGCCTTGCAGGTATAACCCCCATTTTCCCTCCTCGACATCACAGCCCGACCGACGATCATCATCCGACCACCTTGCAGGTTCTAATCAACTGGTAAGATCAGTGGCACCGTCTGTGGGAAGTCTTCTCTCCCTATCTTTCTTTCCCCAGAACTCAAAGATCAAAGCACATATTCAAGATTCCATTCACCAATCATGGCCGACCATGATGATCTCCCACTGCTCTGAAATA